TATCAATCAAACTTATCTTATTATCAAAGGTACGAGTACATTTACGAGTAAGTTAATTATACGGTATAATTAAGGTCATTTCGATATTTGCATTGTCAAAGGTACGTATACATTAACAAAGGTATAAAAATTATAAATCAATATCGATTATCGAAAAAGTGTGCTATCTTGTGTATTTCTATTACTACTCAGTACGATTCGTCGGAAAGCAAAAGCCCTTTTCTCATGTGACACAAATAAATCTCCTTCAAATAGACTGCATTTACAGAATCACCATCACAACCCTCATATTCATCACCCATTTCACTCAATGTTGATTATCATAAAAAAACATTGTGTGATTTCCTAGTCCACTATTAAACGAGAACAAAGATTTGTTAATTCCTGTATCATATTTTTCAGAATTATTAATTCTAATTAAATTTTTTCGTTCAGTAATCAACATTAAAAAACGTAAGAAAATTAAAAGCCAACGGAATGAGAAACACGAAAATTAGCATTATTTTACCAGCATCTCAAATTTAAGAATGGTCGTTCAAAATCATGGTGAACATAGTTTATTCACATTTCACGATTTGCCATTCTAATCATTCTGAAATCTCTATAATGCAAAAAAGTTATCTACCGCTTCTTGATTCGAACTAAAGTCCAGTTTCTTTAACCACAGAAGCAACCTTTTGGATTCAAGAAACATGGAAGGTCACGTAAAAAAAGACCGCGAAAAGAGGATAAATAATAGAGATTAAGTTCAAACTCTTTGAATTGGCTACAAAGGGGTACAGGTACAAAATATCGAATATATTAGTATTCATGTGGTTTTCAATAATCAATAGGAACTAAGAAATATGAAAGGTTATAAAAATCTTTAAGAAAGCAATGTTTCATGAAATCGAAACCTCGACTAATTTTCTCTATTTTAGTGGATAACCACGGCCAATCTAATTGAATTTCATGGCGATTCCCATTGAAGTAAAATTTGGTTGATCTTCCATTTCGTTTACAATAATCTTTAACATAATCAGCAGCTCTTTGAGTGACACCACCACATCTAGAAACATCAAATATAACCAGATTGGGTAACATGTTAACCAATTGCTTGATATGTTCATCTGTCATGTACTTTGGACTCCGCAGACTAAGATGTTTGAGGTTTGGATATTTCATAAGAGTTCTTTTCAAATCATTCCAGATTTGGCCATTATAATACTGTAAATATAAAACAAATTAGTTTATGTGGATAAACAGATGACCCTTTCATGCTCACAAAACCTAACCTTGTCGATTTAAATCTTTAATAGATAGATTAAATTTTGAATTCCGAAAAAAATTCAAAAAATCAATTACATTTCGAATTCAACTAATAACCTATGCAGCGAAATTTTTGGACAGATAAGATAAAGATTTTTTCAGGAACTAAAAGAGATAAACGGCTGAAATTTTCAGCAATTATATATCTTATCATTATTAATACCCAGTAGAAATTTGAAAATTTTACAAGAAATAGTTCAGTGTTTATTCGACTGTTTTGAAAATCGCGCGTCTCTGTATTTTTTCGAAAATCCTCAACTCTAAATTAATAGCTTATTTCAATGTCCTCTAATCCGCTTACGATTCCTAAAATCTGGTGTATTTAAGCATTTTCTATTAATATGTAACCTAAAGTTTATGTTGATGACTTTGCGGCTCGAAATTACAACGCACTAATTAATATGATTAAAAATAAGACAAAAATTATGCTAAAAAAGTTAGACCCCCCCATATTTTCGAGCCACATGAAAAGTCCTAAATGAGCATGAATGCAATCTTGGATTATAGCTTGAATTATATCTTCTTGAAGCTCTGATCTGTAGCTACGCATTGCTACCAAATTTGTGTATCTACCTTTAGCCGTTGGTCAAATAAATGATCTGGAACAAGTTGTCCAAGAATTTCGCTGCATAGGTTACTTACAAAATCTATAACTAAATCTTGCAAAGATGCTTGTTTTAATGTTTCATCGACAAACAAAGCTCCAGAAATCACGGAAATATGGGCACTTTGTAGATTCGGGCATGAATCCATGAACTGGAAACCATAAAAAATCTCACAAGAACTGTCAGGAGTTGTGGCCAGTTCAACTACTTTGAGCTTTTCCCAAACTGGACCATTGTGATAACTGTCTGCGGAAGCAAGATTAATTTCTATAATTGAACATTTATTAAGAAAATATTTATATAATCACCATAAAAGAGAGTATGAAGTCTTTCAAGATTTGGCAAATAATGTGCCGCTCTTTCTAAATTATGTAGAGTACCACCAAATAAGGCCAATTGTTTTAGACTGGAATAATTCATAAGAATCCATGACTTAATACTATCGGAAGCTAGCATTTCAAGTTTATCACAATATTCTTCCATTATTCCACTAGATGAAGTGATTATTCCTTTCAAAGACTCATGGTTTCTGACGAATGCAACAATATCTTCAAATTTCACTTTCACACTGAAGCTATCAGAAAATTCAGCAACCTGAATGGATGAAATAAATAAGAAAATTAATATTCAATGAAAAATGCAAAAAGGAATTTGATTAACAATATCAACTTACTATTAAATTTGGAAATAATGTCCTCGGACCGGCTAAATCAATCGGATCTCTGTCTCTATAAAAAACATAATCATGTGAATAATCAGGTGAATGAGCAGGTGAATGAGCAAATGTATAAGCATAATAATCTGAAAATATAAATTTCTTCGATTAATAAATTTATCACACTAAGGATAAGAATTAATGAAACTTTGAATTCTTACCTAAAAAATATTTAACTTTTTTAATTCGTTGAGCAATTAAAGGACTCCATTTGTGACACACTGAAATGAAATTTTTATTGAGTTAATAAAAGTGTTGATTTGCTCAATCATTATTCAATTGCCTTCAGAGCAACACAACAGGATTTAACATCTAAAAAAGATTCAAATACTGCGCCTCAACACTCACAATGATGATTGATTGATGTAATGGTCATAAAATAATCAAAGATATTTCAAACAGACGAAACTTTCGCAATGAATTATTATCATCACTGCTTGACCACCGCTGAAGGCATGCAAATAAGTGAGTGTCACGAAGAATGGACTCTCGTCAAATTGGGAATTTATTTTGCGTCTTGTAAAAAGTGCAGTAGGAAGTCGCGTTCGGTCACAATCAAGCTTCAAACAAAAACCACTTTTTCATTGTTTCTCACAAACTGGTCAAGATACTGTTAAATCTGCTTCTGATGAGCTCAAATGGGTTCATACTAATTTTAGGTGTAAGCTTAAACTAAAGTATTATAAGGAGTCAAGAAATGCACAATCGCGTTGATGTAACTCAAAAGTCACTCAACTTATCCTCTTCAAACATGTAGTAACAAAATAGATAAGATTGAGACAAATTTTAATTTGACGAGGGTCGATTTTGTGACTTACGCTGTAAACGATTTTCATTTTAAAAAACATGATTCATAATTACCTTTATAACAGGCCATTAAATAATACAGGTTATTGAGTCGGTCGAAAATTGCGAGCAAACAATCGTCGGGAAGTTCATTGATCAACATTTTAAAAAATTATTTCAAGTTTTCACTTGGGCCTGGTGATTATAATCAAAAGGTAAAAGACAGAGAGCAAAGTGATGCAGCTTTATTTCATTTTTAAGTCTAACATAAGTTTAACGGATAAATTAATTTTCGATAAACGCCATCTACTATACGTAAGATGCTTGATTAGGCCATTGGTAGTATAGTAGACGGCGCTTATCTAAGATTAACTTATGCTTGAAGCTAGAGTACGTTAAAATTAAATGTTATTTGTATAAAATGATGAGATCTCTTGATGAGAGTGGTATTATACCAGGCTAGTGAGCATTTTAATTAAATTCAAAAATTTAACTGCATTCGATTCCAAGTGATTCTGTATCGAATAAGAAACAAAAAACTAAACTAACAATATTGTAAATCTAATTAAATTCAGAATGAAAATTACCTCAACCTACTGCTGACATCTATGTAAACTAAAATTAACTATTTATTCAAACTGAAATCATACGATCGGCGAAAGAACTGTAGTTTTGCCATAAGTTTATTTACAATGTTGATTAATGAACTTCCAGATGATTGTTTGCTCACCATTTTTGATTATTTGAATTACTTGGGAGATTTAATAAACTGCTATAAAGGTAAGTATCAATCATGTTTTATACTTTAACATAGAGCCATATAATCCATTGAAAATTTCCTTACCTTCAACGATAATCTTTACTTGCAATTAATCTAGTAAAATATTTGATATTTTAGCTTTATTAACCAAATGAACTCTTATATGAGTCAACTATTAGCTTCTGACTCTGACAAGTATTACTCGACTGAAAATTTACTAATCTAATAACATTTTTATTGCAGTGTCTATCAAATGGAGTCAGTTAATTGTTAAGCGAACCAAAAAAGTTAAATATTTGTTGGGTAAGATTCAATTTTGTTTCAATACATTCTTAGTGCTTATTCTAATTGTGATCAATTTTCTGATTAATGCAATTTATATTTTTTAGAAAGTTATCCGGAGAATGGTGATTGTGTTTTTCATCGAGGAACGGAACCGATAGATGGAACCTGTCTTAGCACACTATTTCCGACTTTAAAAGTGGGTTGATATAATTGATTCAATTTCATTTCGATTGATAATTTTGTATTCATTTTTTACTCTATTTTTGTTTTCAATTTAGTTTGCTAAAATTTCTGATGGACTTTATAAAAAAGTAGAATACAAAGATATTGCTGCATTAGTCAGAAATCAAGAATCTTTGGAAGGATTAATTGCTTGGTCACCATTCAAACATCCTGATAAACCCGAAATGACATCCTTCGATTTATTCGAGCCAAGCATGCAACATATTGGTTCCAGTATAAAACAATTGTGCGGTGTGTATGATTTAGCTAGTTTCCAAAAATACGCACATTATTTCCCAAATCTTGAAAGATTAAAAATCATAAGTGAATCCCAATACTACGATGGTCCAGTATTGGAAAAGCTTAAAATAATTGAACTGGGCTTACGAAGTTGTGGTGGCTTGTTTATAGTTCATAGTTTCCAGGTCATGGATTCATGTCCAAATTTACAAAGTGCACATATTGACGTGAATGATCGCTTTTTTGTTGATGAAACAATAAAACTCCAATATTTACAAGATTTAGTTATAAGTACTGTAAGTATCAATTCGATTTTAAATTTAATTGCTTTTTGGAAAATATCGTTGGAATATTTACATACAGGTTACAACATGGAAGGTTCAAAATTTAATCAATGTAAACTAATTTTATACTTACAGTATAATGATTGCGAGAACAGTTGGAATGATTTTGAAAGATTGTTAAAGAAATATCCCAATCTCAAGCATCTTGCGTTAAGGAACCTTTGGCAAATAACAGATGAACATATCGAGCAATTGGTTCATATTTTACCCAATTTACTGCTATTGGATGTTCGTTATTGTTATGGAGTCACTCAAAGAGCTGCTGATTATGTCCAAAGTCATTGTAAAAGATATGGAAGATCAATCAAGTTTTACTTCAAGGATAACACTCAAATCCAATCAGATTGGCCTCAGTTGTCCACTAAATTTGAAAGAATTAGTCGAGGCTTTGATTTCATGAAACATTGTTTTCTAAAAGATTTTCTTCGCCTTCCACATT